TGGGGCTGTTACTTGGGTTTCATTCACCGGCTGCTGTTTGAGAGACTGTTTCCAACTGTTTTAGTTAATGTTTCTGCCATTTGATACCACATTTACAAAGGAAGAAGGACTTTTTACGCTCAAATAGCAGAAGGTGAAATCAATTTTTGATTCAGGAAAATAAAATAAAAGTTTTGCGCGTAACGTATAGGAACAATAATCTCTGAGTCAAATAAAGAAAATAGTTCCAACAGTTTAGAATAGTAAATATAAATTAATATTTTAGTCGCATCCAACCATGGATCACATCACTGTGAAGTTTCTGACAGGAAGTTTTTAATTTTAATTCCATCATCAATTGGCGTGAATACATGTGTGACGGCTGCACATGATCACTGCCATTCTGTCTAATATCAGCCTCAAGTCAGGATTGTGAATGATTGAAATCACTGACCGGTGTTGGTCAAGTTGTGTAACCATTACATTCACCTGTAACTGTGATTATTCGTACACAGGTCACCAGGACGATCATATCAATCATTGGCGGCTTTCTGTGATGTAAGTAATGCTGTAAATCATGAACTCACCTGTTTGATGGGGATGTTGCGATCAGACGGTGCAGAGCTCAGGAGATTCCCTTTGATTCCCAATGGGAAGTTGTCTGTTCTTCTCGGTGTCATTCTCACAGTCAATATCATCATAATCATAACCACACTGACTGGTGTCAACAGGAAACAGCGGGTCACTGTCTGTGTGATGTCCACCCTCTGCAGAGAGAGCCATCATTTATTAGTGATTACATTCAGAAAGGTGTCACTGTGTGTCTGTAAGTGTGTGTCTGCGTCTGCATTTGTGTGTCTGTATATATGTGAGTCTGTGTGTCTATGTGTGTTGTCTGTGTGTTTGCCTGTGTGTGCCTATCTGTCTGTGAGTGTCTGTGTGTTGTGTGTCTCGGTGTGTGTCTGTCTGTGTGCGCCTGTGTCTGTCTATGATCGTGTATGTGCTGCGTTTGTGTCTGTGTGTACACAGGTATGTTGTGTATGTCTGTGAGTCTCTGCGTGTGTATCTGTGTGTTTGTGTGTGAGGCAAAAATACCGATTGCGGAGATAACCATCTTGGATTTCTGATTGTGTGTCTTACCTCCATCACTACAATCAGCATTTTAAAAAAACTGGAAAGGTTGGGCATTCAAGATGGAATTCCTCCTCACTTGTAAAATTTTAACCAGATTATAAATTTTTAAACGCGCGTTTCAATAATTGCTGATAGTGCTGTAAACGATTATTTCCTTCATTGCATTTAGGTTGTTATTAACAAGACGTCGAAACAAGGAAATCTGCGTTAATCGGTAAGTCACAGCACCATTTTATATGTGCAGTTATTCACACAGCACAGAGCACCATTATGTATGTGCAGTTATTCACACTGCACAGAGCACCATTCTGTATGTGCAATTATTGCATTACAGAGCGTCTCGGAGATGAATTCATCAAACCGAGAAATATCCATTTCAGATTGCACATCGACCCGTAATTATTCTGATTTTAGTTATCACAACAAGGCCAAATATCTCCAGCCGCCCTATCACCAATCCCATGGTGCAAACACGTACCAACTCGCCTACACATACAGTCACTACACATTGAAGCCTATCCGAGACGTCCTAACTTGAAAGGCACTGCACAATTGTAATTCTTGTTGTCTTTATGCCATTGCCTTTCTGTATGGAATGGAAGATTGATGATAATTGCGACTGTGATGATGATTTTCACTCCCAGATGTGTTGCTGATTAAATATCTCCGGCGGTAGGTTAAGACATGACAGTTCGGCTCTTACCCTGACAGAGCGAGGCTTCCTGGACAGTGTGACTGGTCAGTGCGGGGACATCAGGGTGTGTGTCAGTGACCAGGAGGAGGCCCCGGTCCGCCATCTGGAAGGTTCCCCTCTCAGCGTCGTCGTAATTTTCCTGAAGATGATCTGTTAACAGGGAGTCAGTCTTAGGCACTCAAACATTCAGATAGGAAAAGGAGGCAGATATCATAATATTATACAGCACAGAAGGAGCCCATTCAGTCCATCTATTGAAAGAGCGACCCAAATTACTCCAACTCTTCCGCGCTCTGCAATTTTGTCTTCCCCAACTATCTATCCATATCCACCCAAATTTGGACAGAGTGGGGCTCAATGTATCTTGTGCCTGAACGACTGAAACTAAACTCAATTTCTTTTTAGATACGTCATCTGAAGATGAAAGCTTGTTTTACTGTGAAAACTGGATAAATTGGGAGCTCTTTGGCCTCTGGGTCGGAAGTTTCAGATTGTAATCCACTCGGGGACTAAGATCACACTCTGGATAACACTCCAAGGCAGTGCAGTGCATTGAGCTCCGTTTGGATGTTTAGCTGGAATTTAAATATTGCAAATCTCAAAAGGGAAATAGTTATTATATTGGAGGTTTGCCCCACATTCCTCCTGATTACTGTGCATATTTTGCGCACAAATTGCCTTTCCAGTTCACCAAGAGATATACAATCACTAAAAATCACAGTAAACATATGTGAAGTGCTTTGAAACGTCTCGTCGAATTGATCAGAGGCTGTATCGCACACAATAATTATTTCACTCACTCACCATCGCCATTCGGAAGAAACACCTCAGCGTTTCCTTGTTCTGCATTAGATCCATTCACACTCTCCCCAGTGTAGTACTCCAGTTTACTGATAGAATCGTTGGATCCTGAAACTGTGCAAATAATGTCATTAGTGTCCAATTACAGAGGTTCTTAGAGTCTAATTCGTCTCAATATCAAAACGAAGAAAGGTACCAAAAATTAGAGTTTTTTTGCGAAATCGTGGATCACTTTCATGGATGAAAATATGGTCAACCGCTCAAAATAGATGTGATCAAAAAATATCTTTAACATACCAGGAGCAAATGTTGGTTAAATAATATTAATATGATTTTTGAATACTGCCTTCTGTTTAGGCTACAAATTACACATTTGACAACATGGTATTATTTTAGATATTCGCTGGGACTACAGACACACATAAGCATCGCTTATATTAATTTCTGTAGGATTCATTTTGGTGAGTAATAAATCCCAATATCTCATCGTTATTTTATTGTATAATAAATTAAATAATGTAACTTAATTTAATTGGTAATGCTGAAATCATCGGTGATAATATTTGAAAATTGAAAGACCGAACAAATTGAAATATTGAGTAGATTTCATCTCTATTAAGTGGGTAAATTGATACAACGCAACTGGATGTGGATTTTTCTGTTCTCTGAATAAAAGCTTGAAATCCTATCCACAGCGCATTCAATCATTTGCATTTGCCACCAATCGGGATACTAATGTTGATGCTTTTTGTACAATGATGCGGATGCAATAGACATGATTGTAAAGTATGTACCAGTGGAGTCAGCCTCGAAATGTCTTCTTCTGATCGGCCGATCCTCAATTTCTTCATAAATTGCTTGATACAAACGAACAGACGGATATTTTTCCTCTGTTGGAAGTTGACATGTACAGATATTAAAATATTAACCTGAAATTGCACAGTGGATTTTGAAATTGATGTGTAAATATTTGGAACATGTTACGTTAATATTATTATTTGAAAATATCAATATATCATCGTCACTATTGCCTCATTATTCATCAGTGCACTTGTTTTTGTAAGTGTTTGTTTCAATTGGTAAATATGACTGTGCATTTGTCCTTAGGTACCTACAAATATCTACTTAGCTCTGTGTGTTGGTGTGATAATACAACTGTGTATTTGTGATCCTTTGGTTATCTACGTTTTTGTGTCAGTTTAAATACTTTTTTGTATCCTTTATGAAAAATATGTTGTTGCGTTCAGTTTACGTTGAGGCCTAATTGTGTCTGGTGGGTTTCTTTATGCATCAGTGTTTGTCTTTGAGCTACGTGTTTGAACGTATATGTCTTTAGTTTCAGTTTGTGCAACTTTAGAGATACATGTGAACATAGCAATGAAATCGTGACAGTTAAAACAGACAAGAGTATAAGATTAACAAAATTGACACGTGCGTCAAGAGGATTTTATCTGAATTGATAGAGAAGCTCCAGGCAGTGCTGTGAGACCAGATTCCAGGCTCACCTGTTCCTGAAGAATTACTGTCCATCTGTACAATCAGTGCAAACAGTACCACTGCTAACAGGATTCCAAGGACGATGCAGAGCACGAACGGTATGTTGATCAGCTGGACTTTGCAAGTTAAGGACATAACATTTGTTATTTTATTGTTGTACAACATGTGGTAGTCACACTTTCGAAACTATAAAGAAAAATGCATCACACTAAACTGAACGTTATCTGAAGCAAATTATTGCATAGTGTATAATGTGTTCCAGAGTTTATTCAGAATAATGCCCAAACTATCTTAAAAATTGTACTGATGCAGCTCTTTTCCTGAAGTTAAACGCCTGTTAATTTCTACAATGTAGTTGTACAGTCTGTTCATTTCTCAAGTGTTAACTTCTGAAAGGTTACTTGACAAATATACTGGTTTAGATAAATACATTTTTTTACGAATGAATGGCAATACCTGGTGGTGATATCTAGGAAAGCTGAGCAATGTGTTAGCAAGAAGTCAAATATTTATGTTATTTACCAAAGGATGCGGTTGGGATTGGCGGTCTTGGAGGTTTACCTGCAACACATCGCAAACACCATAAATCCAGTAACCATTCAATTTCTGGCATCAAATGAAGTCAGAATTAATCTGCTTTTGTTGAGAAAAATTTTAAAAACCTCAAATTTGACGATGAACATTGAGAGATCGGATCCCTACCGGAGCAAACCACACCGGCGTCTTCTTTGTGAACGCAGTCGCTGCGACCCGCGGATGCGGAGACGCAATCCCACAGAAAGGATTCGCTTCCTCTACAGTGAAGCTCGTCCAGCCATATCTGACCAGCGCCTTGTCCGAACCCCGCCTGTCCCACAGCCCGCACGGCCGGGCCGCAGTCCAGCTGTCCGCACACCACACCGGCCTCTCGGATATCCCAGGAGTCGTCACACACCGTCCCCCACGTCTTATTGCTCCGTATCTCAACTCTCCCCGAGCAAATGCTGCTTCCTCCAACCAACCGCATCTCCTGTCCTGATCAGACAGCAACAACAACAACAACGTTATATTTTTATGGAGCCTTTCACGTCGGGAAGACTTATCCATAGACAGTATTCATTTCACATGTCAGTCACTCACACACATAAAATACGTTTTCATCCATACTGTCATCAAGCGANTTTTTTCCCGTGAAGCATTACTTACAGGGGATCTGTTTAATTATCCTGTAAATAATCCTTCAAAAATAAATCATTATAATAATTTGGTCTCTCGATCCACAACTGTTTGTGCACAATTTGCTGCCGCCTATAAATACACCGTCGATACACTTTCACGTGTTTTCTGTGAAGTCCAGAAGACGTGAAATCGCGTTACCAAATGCGCGGATTAGTTCTATGCAATTGATGCACATTACAGGAAATACCGTTGGAAATTTGGAAATTGTGTTGTGAATATTTTGATAAGAGCACATTTTCCTTCTGTTCATATTTTTCACTCAGTACCTGACAAATGAAGCTGCTGATCAGGTGAACTCCCAGTGCACTGTTTTACGCGATCATTTTGTTTCGGAGCTTCTTCTGCGTTAAACGTACATTTATCAATGAAATACTTCAAATAGAAATACAATAAATATTGACTCAGAAACATTAGCTGAGGAACATTTCATTACCTGAACAAATTACACGTAAGTCGTCTGTATGATCGCAGTCATGTTCTCCCCAAGGTGGCGAAGAGCACTGCCACAGGAAGGATTCCTGCGAATTACACACTATGTCGTCCAGCCAAATAGGTCCAGATCCTCTGTCATATTGACGACTATCATCAACAGCCACAGCTTCTCCGCAATATAACTGTTTGCAGATCACCTCAGCATATTTGCGCCTCATGGAGTCCGAGCAAACAGTTCCCCAAGTCCCATTGTAAAACACTTCCACTCTCCCCTCACAGGAATGTTGTCCATTTACCAACCGCAGCTCCTTGTGTTCTTTGGCGGCAAAAAGATGGATTTTGTTAAAGTTTGTGATTGTTTAAATTTAGTGCAAGTCAGTTTTTTTTTAACTAAATCTTTTATTGGTGCTGGAAAACATGTTGGAATAATTTGTAATATTATATTTGAAGTTTCAAAGAACTTTAATTGATAATACTATTTTTCTCTCATAAAGAACAATATGGAATCTAAACCTCTCAAATACACTGTTTTTGTACCTATGGTGACGGACTATCCAGACAGATCCAGCGAAAGCAATGTGCCAGCGCAAGCCGCAAATAGAGTAACCATGATCGATAGGAAAATTGTTGTCCAGGGCACTAGGAGAAAATCCAAAACCGCTTCCAAGCACTTTTGAGATAATTATGGTCCCAGAAACAGCCAGTGACAGCCTCGGCACATTTCATCCTGCTTCAGATTGCCAGATTTATCCATGAATAAGCCATGTGGGGTTTGAACCCACAACATTCTGACTCAAGGGGGAGGTTGCTAATAACAGAGCCAGGCTGACACTCTATCAGTAAGTAATGATGATGAAAGACAAGGTGTTTAATCGCTTACCTGTACACACAATGCTCACATCTTCTTTGTGATCACAGTCATGCTGCCCCCATGGAGAAGAGGGACATTCCCAGAGAGCTGATTCCTTTCCTGAACATCTGACCTCATCCAACCAAACAGGGCCTGAAGCTGGCCCACAAGGGGAAGCAGCTGATGCATTAACAGCAGGTCCACATCCGAGCTGTTTACACACAACATCCGCCTCAAGTGATCCCCAGGAGTCATCACACACCGTCCCCCAGGTTCCATTGTAGAAAATCTCCACTCTCCCAGCGCAAGAACTCCCACCGTCCATCAGTCTGATCTGAACATCTTCTGTTGAACCAAAGCAAAATTTAATTTATTGCATAACATGCATCCGTTGATACCGTGTATTATCATGATGACAGGAATGTAGGAGAGATGAGAGGAAAAGTTGAACTGAGTGTTTAATGTTATAGCTGATCTTCAGTCGGCTACCCAATCTCCTTCAGTCAAATAAAATCCGGCAATAGCAATGCACATTGCTGAGATATCATCTCAAAATAGGAGACACTCGAATGCACATTGCAATTCAATAGTAATAATAGATATTTCGTTTGATTTAACACATTTTCTGGTGCTTGACACGTCTCAAAGCGCTTCACAGAATATAACGTAAATTGAATTCAGTAGGTTTCTGAAGGAAGTGCAGCAGCCTGTCACACAAATCAGTGGCCCACAACCGTCTTTGTTTGACTGACCAAATTATTATTTTAGTATTTATTGAAGAGTTGATTCACGCGCGGAAAAGTTCCGCCAATCGAGTAACAACCGGCAACGAGTTAAAATCCAGTACTGCAATTTTAATCATTAATAATCATTCACTCACTTGAACACTGGATTCCAACATCACTCATCTTCTCAGTTGATTGGTTTCGCCTGGACGGTTTGCACTTCAAAAGATTCGTCTCATTTCCTTGACAGTGAACATCCTTCAGCCATGGGGACCGTTCACCTTCTCTGTACACTGGGGAGTTATAGGCTCTCATGGCAGGACCACAGCCCATCTGTCTGCAAACCACATTCGCATCGCTTAAATCCCAGAACTGATCGCGCACTCTCCTCCAGTTTCCGTTGTGGTAAATCTCCACTGTTCCAGAGCAGGAACTGCCACCGTCCACCAGCCTGAGCTGTATGTGATCTGTTTCAATATAACATAACACGACTGGTGTCCAATGGTGACAAATACAACGTTTGGTTATAAAATTATTCAGCAACAAATTATTAATTGTCACTCAATGTGTTGAGTGTGTGTGAACCTTCATTATCAACTGAATATCGGTTTGCTGTCGCAGCGCTTTCACAACACTACGTGTGGAATAGTTCAATGACATTGTGGACGTCTGTACTTCGATGGAGTAACAGACAATCACCGACAGGAAGGCATATTGTAAGTTATTTAACAATTTGGTATTAAAATTGGCAATTATTGCTTCTATTTATCGGTCAAATGCACTCACCCGAACAAAGCACTCCCACATCACTGCTGCTCCCGGAGTATGAAGACACTGTGGAATGTGGGCAGTTCCAGATGTGCGTCTCGTTTCCCGCACACTGAACATTATTGATCCACACAGGTCCACTGCCTTCCCCGTACTGGGAAGAGTTGTAGACTGAAATGGCAGAGCCACAGTTGAGCTGTCGGCAGATGACATCGGCATCTGATATATTCCAGGAATCGTCCAGCAATCTGCCCCAAGTGCCGTTATGATAAATCTCCACTCGCCCATCACAGCGGCTCCCACCGCTCTCTAACCGTAAATGCCACTGTTTACCTGCATTGTCAATGCACAATTACACACTCAAAGCTGTAAGAGCTGCAGATAAGTTTATCGTGTTAGTAATTAAAAATAGGCATTTCGAATGTGATAATATACCGACAAAAATACACAGAAATATTCATAGTAACGTAGAAATTATATGAACATTTCACAGACGACGACGTTACTGGTGTTCACAGCTACACATAATCTACAGACAATAACGCAAAAAATGACAGCAGCCTCCAGCCAAAGTGCACAAATCACCACATGTGCCAGGAGGAAAAATAAACGTGAAGAGAAGGAGAATATTGTAAAGAATCATTGCATTTGTAGCAGAAGAGCATTATCGTCACAGTCTAAAACCAGAGATTGTCCTTCATCAGGACCAGACTACTCTATGGGAATTGGGAGTAAACACTTTGTCTCAGGAGTCTATGCTCTCGTATGCAATAATAAAATTAATATACTTTTACGGACTCGGGGCAAATTGGCTAATCTTGAAAATCCAAAGAAGCAAGAGTTTTGGTTTGTGCTGATTTTTAGAGTTGGAGATTGGTGTCACCTCTGACACCTGAATAATAATTCATCGCAAATCTTACTCACACAATAGATCAGGTTCTGTTAGACAGACAGCGTATCATTTGAGAAAAGGTAGATTTTACTTTTAAAGTGTATGACCCATTATTTTTTAAGTTGTTGGCTTTTCCGACGACAAAATATGCAGTCAGATTTCATGAAGATACATTATTTGAAGCGCGTTGAAGAAGTCTGAATGACTTACTGGTAATCAATTAGTAATGCACTATATCAAACGAATTGTTATTTCACTCACCGGAGCATACAACAGTAACATCATGGTCATGTGTACAGCTGAACTTCTCCCAGAATGATACAGGACAGTGCGACACTCGGAATTCATTACCGACACAATTGAAGTTAGTTTTCCAGATAAGACCGGTTTCTTTCCCAAACTGTGTTCCAGAACCAGTTGACAAAGCGAAGCCACAATCCAGTTGCCGACAGAGCACATCGGCGTCCTGCAAATCCCAATAATGATCGCAGATGGTTCCTGATTTATAATCGCGCTGCAATTGAACTCTGCCGGAACAGGCATTGCTTCCACCAATTAATTTTGGGGGATAATGTTCTGTAGTGGAAGATTTAACCTGATATGAGTTATTATAATACAAAGAACGTACCTATAATAATAATATTAGTCCTTGCATTTGATGTAGCGCTTTTCACGTCGGCAGGACGTCCTAAAGCGCTTCACAGGACGCACTGTAAAGTGAGTTGACTGTATATTTGTGGGCGAACGCGGCAGCCAATTCCGCACAGCAATGTCCCGCAAACAGTCGCAGATTGAAAGTGCAGAAACACGGAGGTTAAAGAAAATCATCATTGAACGACGGAGGAGGGCTGGCGGGCGAGGGGTAGCGGGGTTGAGGTTGGGGGGTGGTGAGGAGCGGAAGGAGGCGGTGTGAACCCCCCCAAAAAAAACTACGGATTTAAAACTGACAAACTGACATCATGTGGAATGCAATCTCTATCAGAGTTTCTCAAACTGTGGTTTACCGAAAATATGAGGATTGAAAAATTGATGGGAGACTGAATTATTTACCTGAGCAGATGACGCCGGAATCATAGGCGTGTGACCAGGAACCGTGACCCCAGGACTGTGACTGACAATCCCTCAGAGTAGACTCACTCCCTCTGCACTGAACGTCATATGTCACAACGGGACCTGAGCCTTCGCCAAAGTGAGCGTCTCCTGATGCTGAGAGCGCGGCTCCACAGCCCAACTCCTTACACACCACAGCCGCGTCCAACATATCCCAACCATCGTCACCAGAGCCATAGCCAAACACTGTGCCCCACTGTCCATCGTGGTAGACCTCCACTCTCCCGGCACACGGGCTGACGCCATTCACCAGCCTCAAATGATCTGCAAGTAACATCACCAAAAACATGCCTTTCTAATTGATTTCCAGTCGCGCAGGATAGTCGTAATTATAATAATAATATTTGTACTCAATCGGAAGCGCTCTGAGTCGCCGTCCGGCGTTGAGGGCGCTATATCAATCCGAGTTGTTTTTGTTGCAGCTGTTGCATTTGCCTACACAGTCATTGCTCCTTACAGTAAATTCTGTGTAGCGCTGGAAGAGTTGTGCGGGTTGTGTCAGGGCAGTGTATGTAATCGATGGTGGGACTTGAACGATGGTTTTCAGAGAATGATAGAGTTAAAGTTGCTGCACATTCCACGTGTCCTCCCATTTCAGGTGACATTGATAGGCTCAGCGGGATGTGGAACAATAATAATTGACACAAGACGAAAGTTAAATGTGGACTGGAATCGAGGTGTGGATATTTGGATGGGAGAACAGGGTGGAGAAGCGTATAAATCAAGAGACGATTTGAAGCACAGACCGAGGTTACTAAAGTTGTATTACTTAGGTTTGTTTAAATAGGGGATTACATAACGTGGAGAAAGAGGGATCTGGGAGCAAATCCTTTAGCTTCCATTTGCACTGTTTTCTCAAGGAAACATTAGTCAATACGTATTTAAGCTGCAATGGATATATGGAAGACACGGATCGCCTTGAGTGTTCCTGCAAAGATGAGGTTAAAATTCGAACAAAGAGAGGAAATATTCTTCTCAATTCAGTACTGTAAAAGAGAGAAAAAATAACAAGGACAAACTCAACGTGAGATGTATTGAAACTGCGGGATAGATCTTCACAGCAAAACTAATAACTTCTTCTCTTCTTATACATATTAGTGCCTATCACACGGGGTAGCGTCTCTGAGCACTTAGGAGGACAGAGCTTGTACAGAAACACTGCAGCACTCTTCCTCAATCCCTCCTCCTTGACTCCAAGTTTATATAACATAGGAAGAGCTTCCACTTCGACCTCCCTCTTTCTCTGGGTCGGAGTCCTGCTGACCCAGGCGCTCTGAGATGCTAACCTGCAAGAGGTACGGTATACAAATGCAAGATGTTGTCGATGAGGCCGAAGGATAGGTGGGACTGCTAGAGGAGTAGGGGTATAAGTAAGAGGGTTAGGGCATGACGTGAATGTCATGTGAGTGTCAGGATTATAAACAATATCCGTTTTGCTAATGGAAGACAATGTCGCCTGACATCCATAAAAGATTCAGCAAGTTGCATCTGCGGTACATTTCGCACCTTTTATGTCGGGAGGATGGCCCTAGTCTTGGGTTTGGTGGTGCTGTCAAAGTTTTGATTTAATTGTATTTGATGAATTTTGTGCTGAAGACAAATAGATTATCCAAAAAAAAAATACTCACCTGATTTCTTATCTTGACTGTCGACTTGAGGAGCTGAAATCAGAATGTTTTCGCGAGTTACGTGCTTTAGAAGTATAGTTCGGATGATGAAACATTTTGACCTTTTCAATCTCATTCCACATCAGATTAGTTTTGACAGACAGAGAGTAACCCATTTGTGAAGCTCAGTCTGTTCTACTTCCACTGTACAACGCTGCGCTCACGGTAAAATTGAACGTTCAACTAAGGTTAAAAATGTTTAGTGAAATCAGATCAAAGCTTTCTATCTCGGAGGGCGGTACCTCCTGACCGCGCCTTACACATTATATATAGTGTGACTAAATAGTCGCGATAAAATGTCTAATTAGTCTTAGAGAAATGGTAATAAAACATATTATGCATATATGTTGCATGTATTTATTTGACTACTACTGCAACTGATAATAATAACAATAATAATAATAATCCTTTCATTTGATATAGCGCTTTTCACGTCGGGAAGACAACAACAACAACAACAACAAGATTCCATTTATAGAGCGCCTTTCACGTCAGGAGGACGTCCCAAGGCGCTGCACAGTTGGGTCATGACCCGAGCAGGGGGGAAATGGTCAGGGTGAGGGGAGGGAATCAGATTTTCAATGCCACTCGAGGGGACATCTCATTAATTTAGGTATAAAGTTTCTCCACAAAACATTAACTGTTTGGAAATATTTAGTTTGAATTGAGGTCTTATTCTTAATGTACATGGTTTTGTGACTTGAGAAATCTGAAGGTGGATGTTAAGAAAATAATTTATCATTGAGATTGTGAAGTCAGTGTAAAGGAAAGTATGAACATCTGCTGTTTCATCTCATATTCTGCAGGTGGTGGGAAGTTACAATCTTTCACATCTTTGTCTGTGCGACTTTTAATGCATGTGAACACCAATAACTTTAGGCTCGGCAATGGCTTCTCAAGGTTTCAGATATTCAGGAGCATTGTGTATTTTAAAAGTAGTTTTTATATAATTGAGATTGTAAGCGGTATTGCTCTCAGTTATAGATTAGATGCATTAGTAATGAAGAATTCAGCTTAATGATACTGATGAAAGTACAGAAATTCCCAAGGACAGTTATTATCTGTCCTCTCCCTCCCTCAGGAGGCTCTGGCCTTCTGCACACCCCCCGCGCGGCCTACCCCACCATCGGCTTTGAGCTCCTTGGCCCACAGCGCTTTACAGATCACACTGTAAAGTGAATTGACTGTTTATTTGTGGGAGAACGCGGCAGCCAATTGCGCACAGCATTGTCCCACAAACAGTCGTGGATTGAAAATGACCAATTTATTATTGTTTTTGGTTTTGGAGGGATTATTATTAGGCTCTGTGTGGAGTAAGGAAACTTGCCCAAGGTTTCGCCCTCTGCCTGGAATTGAACTCAGGTCTCTCACTTGCAAAGCGAGTGCTCTAACCACTGAGCTACAGGACTCCACTGACGGTGATGGTTAAAGCTTTGCCGTTAAGTTTGTGGCGCCATTGCAAAGGAAAGTAATCTCACAAGAAGCAGGAACTCGCAAGTTGCAATCGTCCACATCTTACAAAATAAGAATTTGGTCGCTTAATCCACGACGGTCTGTGGGACACTGCTGTTGCAAAATTATTGTTGAGTTCCACCCACCAAAGTCACAGTCACTACACGTTACAGCACATTGTGTGAAGCGCTTTGAGACGTCTCAGTGACGTGCTACTTGATGGTGGATGTTAAAAACATGCTTTATCATTAAGTTTATGAACTTAGAGCAACGGAATACAGGAACCTCGGCTGTTTAATCTCACAGTAAGTTGGTGCTCGCAAGTTACAATCTTTCACATCTTTGACAATGCGATTAATAAATTAATAGACTTGATCCAAATTGACTAATACATTTACAGCTACAAAGGTTCCAGCTGCAGAGTTTTTATTTTTCGGCTTCGGTTGCGTTTCCGGCTCTTGCTCTCACTATCTTTATCTCTCTCTCTCTCTCTCGCCTCCGAGTCATGAGGTGGTGTGTTTGTTGCACTCCCCAACACACACAACAACAACAACAACAACAAGATTCCATTTATAGAGCGCCTTTCTCGTCGGGAGGACGTCCCAAGGCGCTGAAACACCCACACATCGCGGGGACTCTGAGCTGACAGACCAGCTCTGGAGCTGGTCATGGGGTTGGGAAGACAGAGACCCACATTGTCGTTTTACGTCAAATCTCCTTACAATAATATTAATTTGGTCACTTAACTTTGGTCCACGACTGTTTACGCGATACTGAACTGCACATTTCCTGCCGCGTTTCACCCTCAAATGACACCGTCACTTTACTGTACAGTATATTCCTTGAAGCGCTTTGAGGCGTCACAAGGTTGTGATCAGGCGCAATATCAAATGCAAGGATCATTTGTGGAGTCATGTAACTCAGCGATAATACACAGCCACAACATCACATTTGTAAAGTTTTTTCACATCGGGAGTACCTCAAAGATTGGGCCCCGAGCTGGAGGTTGGGATCAGGATGATGGAGGGCAGGGAGGGGAGAGGGAGCTGTCTGGAGGAATGCGCGGTTGAAGAGGAGACTGTGGAGACGTGTTTTGAAGGAGGCAAAGGAGGGAGAGAGATGAAGGTACTGTGGGATCTCCAGGCGCTGTGGGCCAAGGAGCTCAAAGCCGATGGTGGGGTAGGCCGGGCTGGGGGGGTGGACAAGGCCAGATCCTCCTGAGGGTAGGGAGCGGACAGATAATAACTGTCCTTGGGAATTTCTGTACTTTCATCAGTATCATTAAGCTGAATTCTTCATTACTAATGCACCTAATCTATAACTGAGAGCAATACCGCTTACAATCTCAATTATATAAAAACTACTTTTAAAATACACAATGTTCATGAATATCTGAAACCTTGAGAAGCCATTGCCGAGCCTATAGTTATTGGTGTTCACATGCATTAAAAGTCGCACTGACAAAGATGTGAAAGATTGTAACTTGCCAACACCTGCGTAACATTAGATGAAACAGCAGATGTTCATACTTTCCTTTACACTGACTTCACAATCTCAATGATAAATTATGTTCTTAACATCCACCTTCAGATTTCTCAAGTCACAAAACCATGTATATTAAGAATATGACCTCAATTCAAACTAAATATTTCCAAACAGTGAAAGTTTTGTGGAGAACCTTTATACCTAAATTAATGAGATGCCCCTCGATTGGCATGGAAAATCCGATTGAAGCACTACATTGAAAGATTTGAAATGAATAAAAAACATACTTTGATTTGCTGCCGTCGGATGGTTTAGGGCCTTCTTACACTATATGATGATTAATCTGCAAATTACCTTTACATTTGACGTGAATGTATTTGGATACCATCACAGCACATACATTGTTTAAGCACTTGACTATCTGCAATAAATTCACTGACTAATTCATCTGAAACAATCCTCACATTTTAATTCAATACAACCATATATATATATTTATATATATATATAAGACAAAACAATGTAATGCTAATTTATTTTACAGGTAGGACAGTAATATTTTATTGATAATATGTTTAAAACATGAACAGATCGCCAATATAATCCATGCGTTTGTTCTGTTATTTCCTATATTTTCATTAATCTGCAGAAAGAACAATAATTTGACAATTTT